GAGGCAGCAGCTAGAAGAATTGAATGGTCCTGTCCATAGCAGTCTGGAAATAGAGAATGACGTCCAGGAAGGATGCCTAAAATATGCCCCCTCCCCCTTGGCCAATTCTTGCTGTTTCTTGGAGGAGGTTCTGGGAGGGTACTGTTGATAAACTGTAGTCAAATTGGTGATCTGTGAAGATATCTTTCTCCTTGAGTAGATGAAAGTCACTCCTGTGCTGTGTGGTGTTTTCTGTCATTGCCCAAAGAAAAGGATTGGAAAGGGGCAGGGGGCAACTGAATGCCCAGCTCTTCAAGGGCAGGGAGCCTCTGAAGAGCCACTTCTGCATTAGTGGTCTTCTTATTAGCATGGGGGGGTTGCCCATCTGCCAGTTGGGGATGGGGAGCAGAGCTCAGGGACCTGAAAGGGGGTTGGCAGGGTACCATGCATTGTTGCTGCTGCAGGATATCTTTCCTGGATTGATGATAACCTGCAAGAAACAGTAGATAAACTTTTGATCTGTAGCAGCAACAGTAGAGGAACTGAGTTCCACTTTTCCATGGGAAAAGTGCCCTCTCCTTCATACACTTCCTCATCCTTAGGGACTAAGCTCTCCCCTACCTTCTCATGCACAGCCATGACCCCCAGCCCACTCTGGCCTCCACAGAGTGAGCTCTCAATCAAGGGGCATACTCTGAGGCTGCACCAAGATGCCCATGTCTGCCCACATCTACTCCAGTCCTGGATGATTGGGGCTAGTTCTGGGTTCTGTCCCCTAAGAGGATCATGGTCACATTGCAATGACTCAGAGAAAAAGCAACAAATTTGGGGAGAATCAAATAGAGTTTGTTAAGAAATGCAAAAATTGAGTGGGGAATTTTTAGTCTCAGGGAGCAAAGGTTTGGAGGAGCATGAGATTACACGTAATTCATGGCTGTCTCTCTTGAAGAATGCTCCCAAATTTTCCAGAGAGTGGGAACAGAATGAGTAGGTGTTAAGTGGTAGGAGCTGAAGATGAAATCTTTAACATGCTATTCTTACCCCAACTTAGCAGCTCCGCCTAAGAGAATGAGCTATCTGACCCGGCAAATATTCAATTAAATGCCAACTCATCATTTAGAAGCCTATTAATAGAAAATATTTAATTTGTTTGGAGGAAGGACTGGAAAACTTTGAAAACATCATGTACATTTTCCAGTCTTTTCATCTGTGCCAGTTCTGGCATTTTGTCTTCTCCCTTAGACTTATTGGCTATTTGTCTTCTCCATCAGTGCTATTCTTGGTTACTTTAAAATCTTACCTCTGTTTCTGCAGTAAAGTTAATACATGCCAGTTAAAGAGTCAAAATTGAACATCAGAACTACTACTCAGTAAAAACCATAGGCTTTTGTTACCCTAGCCTGAGTGCAAGCTTCGGATGATTGTGAAGGAATAGCAAAGCATGGGGAACCGAGAAGGTTAAGCTGTAGCCCAGATCCACAGAATGACATCTGTGATCTGGGGCTAGGATTCCCTTGTCTACAACTGTCATCTCATTGATGGAAGCCCAGTGCCCAGGGACACCCAGGCCCATGTGTCAAGGGACTCTGGTGTCCATGCAGTACTCACAGACCTGCGGAGAGATTGTTGCTCTAAGCTCTGTGTGGGTCTTCAGCTTGGCAACTGCTTGATGCCACTGCCTCTGGATGGAGGTGAAGGAGTGAAGGGGGGATGGAGGCAGGCACATTTTACTCAGCTGTACCCAAGGCCTAGGATATCCTGGGGTCTACAAGGAGATGAGCATCAGGACTAGCTGAGTCCCTTATCCCCAGGAGACAGGCCTTCTACAGGAAATCCAGGCCTGGGATGTAACATCTTTGTCATCCCCCAGCACAACCCCACTATTTCTTCCAGGTACCTGAAATGAAACTACTGTTGACCCTAACATGTACCACCTTAGCTCTGAGCTTTAGGATCAAATGAACATCAGATGGCTTAGTTAAACTGTCATTGAGCATCTACCAGAGGCCTGACTGTGTGTGTGTGTGTGTGTGTGTGTGTGTGTGTGTGTGTGTGTGTTGGGGGCAGTTGTAGGGGTGTGTCGTGGAGATGCAGAGATCATCCCAAGGGGATTTCACAGTCTAGGTGAAGTATCTAGGCTTATAGATACTTAGGCACAGAGTTAAAGTCCAGGGATATTACAGCTGTAAGTTTGAACAACATGCTGTGAAAGCCCAGCTGAATGGGGTACATGGGTCACAGAGGCCCTCCTGGGGAGGTGTCACCTCCAGGGATGATATAGAGGGGATTCTGTCTTTTTCTAGAACTTTCTTATGTGTTGACCTTCCTATGGCAGTTTATCCAATTTTCTATTCTGCAGCTGTCTTCGTAGATGGATACACCACCCTTTTCTTTTCACCAGGAAGGTTCCTGGAACCAGTCATCAGGCGAGGAGAAGGTTTCATATGCCTAATCTCTCAAAATAAAATAAAAATAGAAAGCACAACCAATTCTGCACCTTGTGCTCCTAATCTAGGCAGAGCCCAGCAGTCTCTGATCTTTTGATGCCACTAGTTCTCAGATCAAACACCTCAGTGGTTTGAGCAGGGCAGTGAATGAATAGAGGGTCTTACCCACCCAGACAGTAGTTTTGGCTTAAAGTCATTTAAGAAATTCTGCCTGCTAATCTTTAAAAAATAGACTCTAAGCTTTGGAAGCTGTGAAGAAAATATCTGCTATACACCTACAAAGCAGAGACCACTTGAAAAAGATTTAGGGCCAGGAGAAGGGATTAATAACAAGATTTGGAACAAGAACCAGATGCTGCTTCTGATCTCTCTGTTTCAGAATCTGAAATCAAACAGTGAGGACACTCCTGGGGACAGTGAATGGACCTAGGAACCTACAATCGAGTGGGGGAAAGAGAAAAGGGTGGAGTCTGGGGAAAGACTCACAACCCTTCCCAATCCAGCTATAGGTAGAAATTAGTTCTTTGCTCTCTTTTGTACATGTACTCTTGGTTGTTCTTGAAATTTCTTACCCTTCAGGTAATTTTTTTCAATCGACTCTGACCTGATTTTACCTTCATGGAAATAAGAGAGAACCTACTGTGTGGTTGGCAGGAGGAGGAGAATTGGGAAAAACATGGAATATGATTAGATTCAAACTTCCATAATCACTGAATATGATTAGCTCCTAAGGGAGGTCTTGCTTGTGTCATGTAGGAGCCCAACTAAGAAGCCCAGGTAAGAAACCAAAGCATCATCCTCTACTCTACCTTCTTCTCCACCTTCCATATTCGTATATCCCCCAGCACACACTCTGCTCCATGATGTCTGTCCTATTAGATGCAATCTAATGGTCCATACAACACATACCTGTCCCCTCTACTCCAGCAGACCACTGAGGAGCTTCTCTAGAGAGCTACAATTTCCTCTTCTTTTTATCTCCAAGTTTTATCAGTTCCAGACACTTTATTGTTGCTAATCACTGACCATTGAAAGTACAGAATTTGATTTAGTGAGTGGTTAAATGACATATATAAGGGTCCCCCTCTCCCCCAGTAAGCTGAGGCTGAACCCAAGGAGAATTTTGTGAGTCTTCCCACACCTCTGTTATCTGACTGGCTCAAGCTCAGGGACCCTGCCCCACAGACTCACTAGACCAGTGGTTCTTGAGGTGGATGGAAATGCTGGGGGTTCTCACAATGCTTCAGTGGGGTCTGTGAGTCAAAATATTGTCCTAATGGTATTAAGATGTTATTTGATGTTTTCACTCCTATTTATCCATGAATCTAGAAATGACATAGAGACTACATGGCACTTGGTGACATCATCACTATGACAGCTAGTACAATGCCTACTTGTTCATAAAGTGTTTTAAAATTTCCTTCAGCTTTAATTTTTATATAAGAAATAGAAATAGATAAAATTCACAAGAAAAAAAGTTCTTTGGGTTCCTCATTGAGTTTAAGGGCATATATACTTCCCAACACCAAGGAGGTGGAGAATTGGGGTGGCATTTCTGGCCCCAGGACCTTGCAGAGCCCATCTCAGCCCACTCTGTGGCCCTGACACCAGTTGGTGGCTCCATTGCCAGCACTATCTACCTCCTCTCTGTGGCAAGTCCTTCCCAAGTAATGATAGGTGCTGGGTGCAGAGGTGAGCTTGGGAGACAGCTGGTGCTTTGGGACACTGAGGATAGGTGGCCAGAGAGGAAAAGGAGACTTGCTGGCTTGTGCTGGGTCCCAATCTACCTCTCCTGGAGTTCCGGATCACCCCCAGGGTCCTCCCAACCATTTCCTGCACAGTTTCTGCTTCTCATCCAAGGCCCTTACTTGTCCCTCTGTGGCCCCAGCAAGAAAGCAGAGAAATGGCCAATCAGGGATAAAGATCTTTTATTGAGAAGCAGGGAGGAAGGAACAGTGTAGGGTTTAGGTTACTTTAATGGACTCATAGTCCAGAAAGGGTTTATGAGTGAGGGTTAGAGGAGCTTTATAGGGGTTGTGGAAGTTATTAGGGAGGAAATACAAACAGAACTCATTGCCTTCACTGAAGAGTGTGGAGTTGGGTTCTGAAGAACTCTGGACAAATTTTCGTTGATTTAAACAGTTTTGTTTTAATTTTTCCACCATGTTTGCTCCTGGAAGCCTTCATTTCATTGAAACCTACAGAGGCAGATTGCTGGGCAAGGAAATCTGCATCCTATAGTGACCTCATAATAGCCAGCAGGAGGCAGCGTGGCAGAGCAGCCAGCTGCTGGACCACAACAGTCAAGGAGAAGGGCAGGAACAGGTCAGGACTCTGGAAGGTTTGAGAACTTCTGTCTACACCATGTAGTCTCCTGGAGAGGGCCTGGGAGGAGCCGCTGATTTGGGGAGGAAACCCATAGACTATGAGGATATCTTTTTTCCTTGAGTCTGAAGAGAAAAGCATCTTCTAAGTATTGAGTATTCCTTGTTGTTGCTCAAAGTGAGGAGATGGAGTGGGGGCAAGGGGGTGCAGTATCTTCATTGCCAGGTCAGGGAGGTGGCTTCAGAACTGTCACTTCTGCTTTGGCAGGTATTCCTGCTGGCAGGGAGGACACTTAACAGGAGGACACTTTGGCTGGCTGGAGGGTGGGGGACATGGCTTAGGCACCTTTGGGGAGCAGGGCTCAGGGACCTGGGGAGGGCAGGGCTTAGGGATCTGGGGAGGGCCCTGGCAGGACACTTTGCATTGTTGCTGCTGCTGATAGGACATTTTCCTTAGATTGAAGATAAACTGAAACAAAGAAGTAAAGCCCTTTAGAATGAGACCATGTCAGTGGAGGAGATTATTTCTAAATTAGCACATACCCTCTCTTGTCACTCTTTTCATCCTATTTCACTCCCTCTTAAGAACACCCACTCCACAGGAGCCTCCATGGACCACAGCAGCCAAGAAAGAGAATTATCTAGAGTCTGCCTTGCAGATGCCCAGTGTTTGCCCTGTCCACCCCACCTGGAGAGTTGGTGCCTGGACAGTGCTTTGTGGTTTGAACAGAGCATGTTCATTCTGAAGGGAGTCCAGGGAAAGAAAAGATTTGGAAAGTATCAGGAAAATGTGCCCCAAAATACAAGGTAAAATGTCTTTAGAATAGTCAGCTTTAAGAAAAGCAGGTTCAGAGACAGCAGAGCACTGCTAGGGTTTTGTAAGACCTGTTGAAGCAGAGTCTAATGTGGAGAGATTGGACTGCATTTCTTTCAGATACCATGAAACATTTCCTTTCTCTGGAACAGTGCCCCTATTTGACACTGAGGCATTTCTTCCCCTTACTCTGCCCTCTTCAGCAATTTCTCTAGTCCTTCTGTGTCATTCCTGATTACTTTAAACATGACCACTGTTTCTTCAAGGATAATGAACATCCCTTGGTGTCAATGGTCTTAGAGTTAAACTCCAGAGCAAAGCCAGAGTCAGGAGGAGACCCCAGCCAGGCACCCAGCTCAGATCCTCACTAGATGGCCCATTGTGCTCTGACCAGGGCTCAGGAGCCTTGGCCTTAAAACAGGAGAAACATTCAGAGTAGAGCATGAGGAAGAACAAAGACTAGGGATTGTGAAAGCAAAGTTCTGGCCTCCACTCTACCAGCATCATTTGGCTGACCTGGAGCTTTTTCATCTATACCTTTAATCACACTAATCTCAAATTATCTTCTAATTTAGAAGAGTAATTGGCAAACTTTTTCTGTAAAGGGCCAGATAGTAAACATTTTAGGCTTTGAAGGCCAGACAGTCTCTGTCACAACTGTTCAACTCTGCCATTGCCGTGTAAAAGGAGGCATAGACAACTTATAAACAGATGCATATACCTGTGTTCCAAGAAAGTTATTTACAGAGACCGGCAGTGGGCTGGGTTTCACTTGCAGACCTTATTGACTCACGATGTGGGCCCCTGACTTTCTGCATCTCACTCCATCTCACCTCTCTGGCTCACTGTCTTGCTCATGTTGTCTTTATTTTCTGCTCCTTTTTGCTAATCTGTTCCTATTGCTATTTCTGATCATCTGTCTTTCCTTTTCCATACCCCCAAACCATAACTCTAAACATGCTTATCATTTCCTCTAGTGGGAATCCGTCACAGCCCCTTTAAGAACTTCTTCTCCCATAGAACAGAGCCTCCCCACTCACCTTCCTTTCCATGCTGTTCCAGGCCTCAGGGATTCAAGTGCATGAAGAATCCCAGAGCAGGTCCTTTTATCCTAGGCTCAGCCTGGGCAGGAGGAAACCAAAGGGATTTCCCCATCATTTCCTAGTGTCCCAATGTCTCAATCAATTCTTGAAGACACTCGTCAAACTCTTTTGCATGCAAAACTCCAGTTTGAGAGCTCTTGGGTGAGTAACATTTCTATTTCCTCTGGAAGCATTTAGTATCAGTGTGTGATGGGCAGGGCAGAGGGATATATGGGTAGATGTGTTTTCTTTAAGTGTACCGTGCCCTTCACGTCATTTTTAGGGATGCCAAGGCTAGTTGTTAATGCACTTTTCATTCCCTCTGAGTGTCTCCTTTCCCCATTTTATATAGAATAAATTAAGTTATCATCCACACCACACACACTCCCTCTACCACTCATGTTTGAGGTCAGACGAAGCTAAACTTATTTACCCAACAACCATTGAGCACCTGCTAGAGGCCAGGTCTGTGAGTAAGGGAGGATACAGTAAAGACCAAGACTCAGCCTAGGTCCAAGAAAAACTCATAGTCTAGTAGGAGACATATGTGAGCATTCAGAGTGAAAGGACCCTGCAATAAGACATTTGGTCAGCGCGCTATCCGTTTGTCAACTGGGAGGTTACATGGAAGAGGATTTTCCAGTACAGGGAATTCTTTCCCCCTTTAAAGTTGTCTTGAGTACTGGAGTTGGCTTAACTCTCCTCCTTCAGTGTCACACCGCCCTGCTCCCAGCTATAATTCATGAAGCAATATTGCACTCTCTTCTCCTCTTTTTTAGTACTGACTGACACACAGGATCTTACATGGTATGCCATATTTCCAAGGAATAAAATGTGAACTTCTGAATTGGTCACTGACTAGGAGGCTCTTTCATTCTTGGGCTCGTTTCCTGGCCAGGGCAATGATCTCAGAGTCCTGGGCACCATCTCTTCCCACCTGTAACTCAGTATTTGTATGATGCTAAGAAAGTCTACATACTGAGGGCAGAACAAAGGGTGCCTTAAACAGTGTCTAAATTCCCAAGAAATTTGGCATATTTAATATTCCAAATTTTAGCAAAGACCCCACGTTAATGGAAAATGTAATGAAAGTATGGACATTTTAACAATATTGAGTTTCCCAATGCATGAACACAGGTGTTTTTCCATTTATCTATACCCAAGTTGATCTATAGATTCAATGCATATGAATGTAAGTACTATTATTTTTGATAGAACTTGACAGGCTTATTTAAAAATTTAATTTTAAAATTTGGTTATATTGAATGTATACATGAAATATAACACATTTCTGTTGATAGCACTTGACAAATTTTATGAAAATTTATATGAAAAGACAAATGACTAAAAATAATAGTTAAAGATTTCTTAAAATATAACAAAATTGGAGAACTTTAACTACCAGATATCAATACAACAGTAATTAAGACAGTGTGGTATTACTGTAAGGATAGATACATAGACCAATGGAACAAAACAGAGACTTCAGGAACAGACTCATATACAATTACTTGATTTACACCACAGGTGACTCTGTAGTGCAGTGTGGAAGGGGTGGTCTTATCAATATATGATGCTCAGATCGATTAGGTATCCCAATGGAGCTAAAACAAAACAAAAAACTTCACCCCTGCCTTATTGTAAACAAAAGTTAGTTCCAGGTGGACTATAGGCTAAATTTGAATAGTAAAATGATACAACTTAAAAAAACATAAGGAAAAATATCTTCATGATCTTGGTAGGAAAAATTCCTTAAACAGAGGATAAAAAGTGTAATTTTAAGGGGCCAAAATGATAAATTAAGTTTCATTACAATTAGGCATTTCTGGTTATCAGAAGACAATGCTACAATTCCAAAAAGGTAAGCCACAGAGATGGAAATCTATTCATGATATATATATATATATATATCTTACAAAGGACTTGTGTCCAGAATACACACACACACACACACACACACACACACACACACACACACTCTCTCTCTCTCTCTCTCTCTCTCTCTCT